ATGGTCTTACAACATTTTTAAAAGTCTCTCTTATCAATAAACTTTTAATAATAATAAAATATATATCAAGAAGAATAAGAAGAGTGTGTTCATATATACTTTTATTAATGTCTTTTTCTTCTACATATGCAAATCATATATATTATTTTTTGAAAGTAATATTATTCAAGTTGAATAAAACTTATACAGTAACAAAACTTTTCGTTCAACTATTTAATAGAATTATATATCTAAAATTTAAATTTAAAATTATTAATTAAATTAAAACATACGCTAATTAATTTGTTTGTTTGATAGTATCTTTGTCACTTTCTTTAATTTATATTTTATATATGCTATATTTATTGTTCATTAAAAATAATTTTGTTCGAAAACGTATAAGTATCGGATTCTTCTTCGATGTATGTTACATATATTAAATTAATTAATAATTTATATATTCTTGTTGTTATCCTTCTTTTCTGTGTGCAGTCTATGGTTTTGTTTTTAACATATGCCACTCTTTGTATATATGCGTTTCACACTGAATTTTTGTTTTGTATGCAAGTGAGAAGACTAGATCTAGATGTTATTACACACAAATTATTAAAATTTAATGTCACACAATATTTTTTTAAAAAAAAATCATGATTTTTTTAAACAAAATTTAAAGTTATGTTTTATAATTAGTTTTTGATCATTTATTATCACTGGTATAGACGAGAATAGTATCACATTTATATATAAAATATTTTTTTTATCATTATTATAAAACACTTTTTTAAATTCTCATTATCCATTTCATTATTATTTTTAAATATTTCCATGTAATTAACAATTTTATAGACAAAAAACTCAAATACTAAAATTTAATGAGATAAAAAAAACTTTCCTAAAAATTTTTGAGAAAATAAATAGACACGTTAAATATATTTCTCATTTGATATTATTCTCTAAATAAATATTAATTATTTAAATAAAAGAGAATAATATAATCAAAAGATATTAAAGATAGTTTTATAAAAATAGTTTAAATTATTAAAAAAAATTGTAACAACCCGCTATGCAAGGACGGAGCCAAGGGGGGACCTACGGGTGCCACGGCCCCCCCAACAATTTTAATTTTTTTTTTATATACATATATATTACTATATGGCACCCCCTATTTTTAATATAAACTCATATGTATAATTAAATGAATAACCCAAATTTATTTTTTTATTCAACTTTTGGACTTCTGGTACGGCCTGCTATGTGGTATCACTTTGGAATTTCTATGACCTTTACACTCTATGAATCATACAATTATACTAGTTGATTAGGATAACCATTAAATGAATAATAATACATATATGGATATACAAGTAAAATAAATAAAATCTTTGTTTATAAATATACACACTACCTAGAAAACATGTATATAAATATATACATTCATCCAAAACCATAGTAATGTCCTGGTGCCAGTCAAACAGTATAACTAATATACATCCTATGTTAATATGACATCAGGATCAAAAATCCCTCACCTCCACAACAGTCACCACAACTCCAAGCTAGCCCTATTCTACTCTCATACAAAATATGATTATCGCAGTCCATCCACATTAAAATAGAAAGGTAAGCTAGAATTCAACAAACAATCATACAAGCATAAGAGTAACATATATGCCACTCATTTATCAAATCGCCAAATCACAAAGTCAAACACCATATACTTCATCATAACAACAATCATGCAATTAAGCAACACACGAAAGATATCAATGCATATCTATCATCTAATGCGTCGTCACGATTCACCTAGGAGATTTCCCTAATAACAGAGCAGTATAAGTGACATTTCATCCTACCAAAACCACTCCAATCATTTCACTCCCAATGCGCCGGCTCGGTCACAACAAACCGGGATATTAATCCCCACTCAAGTTTACTCAGATGATGTCACTTGCACACTTGGAAGTCTGGCTCCATCGTCAAGTATAGCACAATTAGATACAAGCTTACCACGACCTTGACATGCATTACCAAGTCACTTGTGGAGTTCGCCCACCGACTATCCACAAGTAACCACGAACTTTCCCCAGTACTTGGTTAAGGGAATAAGCCTCGACCTTATACTCCACTCCAACACTAGCTAAGGACTTAGAGAAGACTCACCCAAACCAGTGGGCAGTGGCTTATCCAAGCACCACTCTCAAGAGACTCTATGTGAGCTCTTCTAGTTCGAAAACATTTCCCTCTCCTTAAGTCCTAGATTAGACACATGTCATAAGGCATCACATGCAACAATGCATCATGCATTATACATCATACATGATCAATCCACCATCATGATCAATATCATCCTCATATGGAAGTACATACCAAATTACATTTAAACATTCATATATATCATTGCCAAGCATACATATGAATCAAGCACCAAGTTTCATCATATATCATACATATATGAACCAACTATACAACATATAAACAACTCCAATAACACGTAACATGTTCAACACATACTATTCCTCAT